TTTGTCACTTCAGTGTGAATACCCCTTTATACACTGAAAAAGTTTGGTGTAAGCAACACATGCTCACCCCCAACTCTTTTTGACGCACAGGGTACCCCTTTAGCATAATTAAAAAAAAAAAAAATTGTGTACAGTCGGTGCGTAAATTCAAAAATTGCCGCCAGAAGAAGCCTCACGTCAGTCTTGGTTGTGAAATGCCATTGGCTCTTGTGTGTCTTGTGACCGATTGCATCATGCTAAAGTACGCGAGTATCTTTTTGAATGAGATGTGAGCACGTTAACGGAGTGGGATCATTTTCAGCATGTAAAACCTTATGTTTTACTCATTTCTTCGCATAAAGATATTGTATGGCTTCAGAAGACTTGGAATGCAACACGACTTGTTTGTAATACTTTTATACTGCTTTTTATGGTACGTTTTTGCAATAAATACCTGTGACGGTACTTTTATTCGCCTGTTACGTGTTTTATATTTTTCAGAAGTGGGTAGGTTTAGGGTAGGGGTGGGGTTAGGTGCTCCAATCAAAGTATAAATTTATATAAAATGATTTATATTTTTTACAAATGCATGCAAACCATTAAATTAAGGCAAAAAACTGAAAGCAATGGAGGACCCTACATGTCGAAAAGGGGTACCCTGTGCATTAAAAAAATTACGCTAAAGGGGTACCTTGAGCATCAAAAAAGTGACTCCAAGGGGTCCTGACCAAGCGTAAATATGTGACGAGTTGGGAGTGAGAACGTGTTGGTGTAAGATTTACTTTGAAACAAATTTTGGAAATAAATTGCTTGTAAATTTCACAAATAGCTGACCCTTCGCCGGGAGTGTGACTGACAAATCTGATCAATCATAACGCAAATATAACTGAATCTGTCATTTTGTCCGACAAACAAAACAGACAGGAGAGTAGATTTAAGTTGGTCGACTTTAACTTGAAAAATGCTGTGTACTGACATCTTTCCGCGGTTGAAACAAGATACTTCTGATGTTCATTCATGTTTATTTTGTGCTATAACTAGTAAAGAGGAAGAAACGATCAGTTCAGGTGTCACTTGAACCGAGGCTACAGTGATCTGTCACGACACATTAAAGAGCCACAAAACAGTATTTATCGTTTTAATTCATTTAAAAAATGACAAAATTTGAAAGCTGAGACTTTTTCATACCAAAAAAAAATTATTCTAAAGACTAAAATAGTATTTTCCTGTAAAATATACTTCATTCAATAATTTTTACAATATTAAAATAATTTTTACAGTATGCCCCAAAGTTGCCGAAATAGCATTCTACAATAACAACTGATAGCAGCTTGATGTGAAACACATGTGTGGAATAGATTTGAAGTACATGGTGAAAAAACTAGATGGATGCTGATTCATATGCCATCGGCCTGTGGTTTTCTATGTTGTTGTTTACGCTAACGGCTAATGTGAAAAGGGCTTAATCCTCTTGGTCTAAATGTAGTTTAGATACATGACACTGTATTGCCATGAAAACAGATCTGAAGACTTGGCGTAAGGAGAACCGTTTTAAAAGAGAAGCTCACGTGTTCGAGTCGAAGCCAGAAATGACACGACAGTTGGAAAACAGATGAAAAAAGATGTGAATATTGTATTGCATGAGTCTCACAGGGAGTTTCCTTTTAAATGTCTGCTTAATTTCTAAGCTGACAGGCTAGGTTTTCAGTGCATCCCTCTATCATGAATGACGTAGTCGGCTAAAAGTAGACACTGGCTTGTACAGGAAGCCCCATGTTGGCTCTTCACGTGCACACACTTAGGCTGATATGATATAGTATGAGTATTACAAATTCAGCCATAGCATTAAACTCAGTGCACACTGACGCATAAGAGGGAGGTTTTGGGAACTGAATTTGTTGGATTAAAGGATCTCTACAACATTTTAGGCTAAATAGGGCTAAAAAATTCAGAAATAAAACTGACAGAATGTATTTCCATAAATATGGTGAAAGAAGAGAATGATTAATCCCAAAATGAGAAATAATTTACTCAACCTCATGTCGTTCCAAACCATTATGGCTTACTTTCTTCTGCAGAACACACACACCCATCCAAAAAAAAAAAAAAAACCCGGTTGGGTGAATACAGTACAAATATTGTACAATGCAACTCACTTTAATAAAGCACTCAGGGATTTCAGGAAACGTCCATGTGGCTCTCTGAACATTTTCCAATTGTTCTGAATGGTTTGGTGAAAACTAACCCAATATTAACTCTTTCACTGCCAGCATTTTTGAAAAAAAGTTGCCAGCCAACTCCATTTTATTCTAGCTTCAAGCATTCTTTTCTTAATCAACGCTTTAATGTAGGTAAGTTTGATAAAAAAAACGTAACATTTTGAGCAAAAAGCTGAGAAAATCACGTTTTTATCAAATATTACATATGAATCATATTCATTACGATGATCAAAGCATTACGATGACCTGGATCGACAATTCACTTGGAAACATTAGGCAGTTTTCATTTATATGCTGTTTACTGTTGATGATCACATTATTTTTCATATGCATCTGTTTACATATGAGATCGCTCGTTTCTGCGTCTTCCTCACATGTGTTTTTGATTTGGACATTCTGGACTCATTCAGGAGATGCGTAATAGCGCCCCCGATGGTATAACAGTGCAAACACGGAAACCTGGAAAATTCCATTTTGGCGGGGAAGCGTTGTATCATAAATAACAGAAAATTCCATGTTTAGCGGGGAAAGAGTTAAAGCAATTTTGACAGTAAAATAATTGTGGTAAACTTCACCTTTTAATCTGGTGCGTAGAAACACCAGGAAAAGCAGGTGAACATTTTCGCCACCTACTGGACTGGAGTGTGAAGGGTTGAATGACGCACACAAAATTTACAGTTAAAGTGGCTTCAATATTGAATTGTTTTTCGCCAAAATGTATAAAAGCAATCTTGTGGTGCAATGTACTGCCATTGTCTTAAATTCACGCAAACAGATATTTGTTAAATTATTTCCTTTTGTGTTCTGCATAATTTTTTTTTTTAAAGTTACGTTTGGAATGATATGTGAGTGAGTAAATTATGACAAAAATACATTTTACGTTAACTATCCCTTTAATCTCTATCTGACTTAGTTTTGTCTCACCAAGGAAAAGGAACACTAAGGGCATGTTTACACACAGCAACTTTGAACCAAACAAACTCTTGTGCGATTGCTTTTTTAGTGTGATTCATTTGAAGAAGTATGAACGCTGCCATCCGAATATTGGTTTGTACCAAACTAGCGGACCAGGATCAACCTTTAGTTTTGGGTGTTATTCACAAAATATAGTCATAAAAGCTGTCCAATTAGGTTGTGACCGTATCCTCATGTCTTTTGTTTTGTATCTTTAGGTTAGGTGTTAAAAATGTAAATGTTAACACCAAGCGAACCAAATGTATAATTTTCTTTTTTTGTCCGGACTAAAAGAACCAAGAAAACCAAATAACCGAAGGCATGCAAAAACATACCCACTGGAAACACAATAAAATTCTAAACTAAACTTTGAGTAAACAATAGCTAAACAATGAAGTTACATACTACAACTGTGATAGACCACAATACACACTTGCTGATATTTCTTTAAGCCAATGCACATAAACACCACACAGATATAGATCCACAAACTACAGTGCACTGAAACGCTACAATATGTGAAGTTCCCCTTCCATCCTTATGTACACAAACAGTCTCTCTGCTGCTTTAGTACATAAACACCTACACGCACACATGTGTGTGCCGATACACAAACACAGTATGGTACAGTTTATGTGTACGTGCTTCTGATGGGACAATGATTAACAGGATTTGTGGGGCAGCTGCGTACAGTGGTCAGAAGGGGCCCGAGAGTTAGCCGAACAGATTTCAGGTCTGATTTGCGTCTGTGTTTGGATGCTGAGGTGGAGGAGGGCTTCGTTGTGTTTCCTGTGTCGCAGTTTACTGTTTTTTAGAGCAAGAAAAATGGGCTTATGTAAGGGGTCATGTGATTTAGCCAGAAATAGTGGCGAGGCTACAGCTGCTGTTGCTCCGTTTGCAGATCCTGGGCTTTTTTGGCAGCTTCTAGACAGACTCGCTGCGCATTTTTTCCCTCCACCGAAAACACTCATTGTGCCTGTCTGTAGCCACACGGTCCATAAGCACTAAAGGAAAGCACGTTCATGTAATGTAGGTAGCACCAGTGGCATGCAGTTTAGCGGAGAAGTCCTTCCCATGATGCACGAGTGAAAGAGGGGGTGGAATATGGTTAAGAGAACGAAAGAGAGAGATGCACACGGCCGCGGTGCCTGGATGCGGCCCTGCGGCGCCGTGCTCTGGCCTGTGGAGCGAGTGGGTGTGTGGCGAGTCAGTGGAGCGGAATGGTGCTCCGAAACGAGAGCTCGATCCACGAGCTGTGGCCTTGGCCAAGGAAGGCTGCACATGAGGGATAGCGTCATAGCGTCCCGCGCCAAGACATCAGCCAACCCATGACACACTCAGAAACACTGTTTGGGATGGCTCATTTGTCCTCTGTGATAATAGTGCAGGGGCGTAAAGTGTAAGACAGCTGTCTCCTTTGCGTCGTATACTCACAAAGGGATGACTGTGCACGAGGAGCAGCATGCACCACAATGTCCTTGTGAAGGTCACAGTTTTGTTAATGCACGGAATAGAGTGATCTGTCTTTTTTGTATTACGCTATTAGGGCAGTAAATCAAAAATGTTAATTTTTCACTGAATTAATTACATCCTAATTCATTTTTTCAAATTAACCAAAACACATCACAATGACTTAGAAAAGCCTCCACAGAAAACTATATATTATTATTTTTAATAATTAATTATAGAAATTAATTGGTTAAATTAACAGTCCTATAAACAAACCATTGTCCATGTGAACCACGGAAGAGCTCATTCCTAATTTCTGTAACAATTCCTACAGAAAAAAAAAAAAAAGATACATAGAGTTTTATAGAGATCTTGAACACGTTCTCTCTCTTCTTGCAGGTCAGCACAACTACCTTTGTGCTGGGAGGAATGACTGTATCATTGACAAGATTCGGAGGAAAAACTGTCCAGCATGCAGAGTACGGAAGTGTCTACAAGCCGGGATGAATCTTGGGGGTAACTGAATTTACTTACTATGGGACTAAAAACTGTTGTGAAATGATATGAAACAATTATACGGGCACACCTGAGATCATTAATCTTAAAATATAAGAAATATATCCAGAATATAAAAAAAACACAAAATGTTATTGTGAATGTTATAATATGAGTGATTGCCTTTTTTTAGTGAAGATTTACAGTTACAGAGAAATCTTTTCTTTTTTTTGTCTTTTATTTATCAAAGGTAAGTGACTTAAAAGAACATATTGAAATATGCTTCACATACATCTGTGCTTTCAATATAATTGCAACACAATTTGAGCAGTACTCAGTGAGCTGGAAAAAATGACCAAGGTAGATGGTTTTTAAAAAGACAATAAGCGAAATACAGATGAAGTCATTTGGTTGTTTGTGTAACAAATGCTAGCCAAGGGTCACACTAATGGGGGACACCTTATTATTATATTGAAGATATAAAACTATTGATAAACTTGAGAAATCAGTACAGCCTCAACAAACAGTGTACATCACTACAGCCATGTCAACTCCTGAAAACAACGAATTAGGCAAACATTAACTAGTGACTCCAAACAGATGAAAAAACACAAAAATACTAGCAGAAAAAAAAAACAGTGAAGTTTCATCATGTGCATCTGTAATGTGCCTAGAATTGCAACTAGGGATGCACCGATACCACTTTTTCCAGTACTCGCCCGATACCGATACTTTTATTTTTGGTACTTGCCGATACCGAGTACCGAAACCAATATTTTCATTGCATTTGTAAATTTTTTCAATATTGGGTACAGAAACCAAGAGTATGTATAATGTTAGTTGGTTAACTTCATTTATCAAATAGATACAGTCAAACCTTCAACATTTCTCACATTATCACAGTTTATTCGCTATAGTTTAGAAAATGGTAATAAAATATGACAAGAACTCAGAGTTAAACTGTGTCAGAACAAATTATCTTGATAATGTTATATAACTTTGATAGAAAGGTATGTAATGGATTACAATAAACCAAAAATTATTCA